TCAATCCAGACCAAAAAACTACAAATTGGAAAAAATAGCAAAAAAATACTCAAACATACTTTCTTTAAGTCAGCCAGGATAAGAGGACTACCACTTCTGCATATGACAGAAGTGCCCATGAAGTCAAATTCGAGCTTCGCTATATCCATCTCCATTTCTTCCTTGTCTCTCTCTGCAAGTACAACTATAACACCGCCACCAATGCTCTTGTTTGCTATTGCTAGCTGCTTCAAAAGTGAGCCCTACAACCAAAACATCATCTTTAACACCTTGTCTTAATCCTAAAAAGAGTTTACACTGTCATCATAAGATTTACATGCTCAACCTCTCATACCGGTAAAAGAAGAGTTCAAAGAAAAACCTTGATTCTAAAATGCATTTACTCTGTCACAACAAGATTTACATGGCCAAATTGGTTTTTAAGAGCCAAGAAATTTTTATATAGAAACTTCTCTTAACATCTTATCAAGCACTTAATTAAATTACAGCCAAGTTGGTTTTTAAGAGACGAGATTTTTATAGAGAAAAAGGAACATGAAAGTCCTATTCTATTGCACTAACTTGATCAACCTAAACCATATGTAATTCCTTCCTCTTTAAAAAAAAAAAAATCATGTTTACTTCCTATTCAAAAAAACATAAAAAACCATTTTTTGTTCCTTGGACAGCTAAGTATTTGCTTTTGACAGGCTCCTACTTTATACAAACATTACACTAGTTAACAAAAATGAAAATGCAAAGGAAACAGTGAATGATAGTTCAAAGTAACTAGTATGAATTACCAATTTGTCACTCCATCCAAGAATTAGTATGTGGTTCTTTTCGATTACTTCGCTCTTTCCTTTCCGCAGCGAATCTACCTTTTCTGAGATGGCATCCGAGACAAGTCCAAGCATCATAGCAAATATCAGCATGCCTCCTGAACTTATAGAGACAGAAACAATTCTTGGCCCGGTGCCAACTCTATCAGCATGATTTCCTGAATCAGCTACAAATGTCCATGAAAGCCAAAGAGCTTCCGCCAAGCTACCATCACTGACAGCATACAGCGCTAACCCACCAAATCCTATGAGAAAGATGGTCGCAAAAAGGAGTGCAAGTAGCTTTGCATAGGGATAAACAGAGAAGCAAACATCCACCATATATGCAATTCTCTTCTTCAGGGGAGCCTCCTCCTTGTTATTCATTGTTCTTTTTGAGAGAGTCTTTATTTGGGGAAGATAATCAAGATATTTATACAACAAAAAAGGTATGACGAGTGTGAACATCACGGTATACAAAGCAACAGCTCTGCTGTCAGCATTTCCAAGATAAAATGAACTATTAACTTCAGGCTGCAAAACTTCAATGCCATCATTATCAGCACCGCCTTTATTACTACACACTGTACGGAGGTTAGTATTCTCTTCCTGCAAGTAAAAGAGCCATATTCATGAACAGAGGAGCATAAATCAACTAAACCTATTTTCAGTCGCCATTAACATTTAACAAGAATTTGTTTACTTTTTTTCCATTTTCTAAACCATCCCTTTTTGAGATTCAGAATAGTTAGGTCTTCTTGATTTTCACCTTTTATTTTCTTTCTCATTTCAGCAACTGAGTTAGAATGTTCCAAATTGTTCAAGACATCAATAGATTTCAACAGAAAGAACCAACAATTCAACTTGTCAAAAGATGTATATGAAACATACCTCTAGTTTCGCGACTTTATTGCTCAAGTAAATCGAAAAAGACATAAATACTATACAAGTGAAATTAAGCTGCAATAGAAGATTAGCAACGAAATCATCAGTAATGCTATATCAAAATAAAGCAAACTAAATCCAATAAGAAACTGCTTCTATACTTGACCCAAAAATAGAAATAAAGTGGAAAAACAAGTGCTCTAGTTTTTTAATTGCCTGAAAAAACTGTACAATAATGTAATAAAAGATTTCCACTTTCTTCCTTTTCAGGAAACCTTAACTATTACTTCTACTTTTAAAAGAAAAAAACAAAGAAAAGGGGCAGTTGTTTTTACCAAATAAAAGATCGAAGAAGATGTGAATCTCCGACTTCTGTTGACACCAGAGCGAGTCACCAAAACTTGAGTGGCAGCTGCCGTTTTCACTTCTTTAATATCATCATCTACCTTCAATAACTTCTCCTCTTTCACTTTCCCCTTATTAGCAGCACTAGCATCGGAACTAGAAGTAATAGCAGAGGGCCTCGCCCCAGTGTTGTGCTTCTCCTTCTCATCCACCTCCGCCGCCACCTTATTATTACCACGGCGACCCTTCACCGTGACTCGACTCCTAGCCACGTGGGGCCCAAGAAAAGATGGGTACATCCAGTCCCTATCAACCGAGAAGCTGGAATTGTTCCCACTACTACTAATATCAATGCTACTATTAGTAGCATTGACAGTGGTGTGGTTGTTGCTGTTTGTGGAGAGACGGAGATCGGACAGTGGAGGGCGGAGGTGGTGGTGGGTGGAAGGTGTTAGTGGGGGAGGAGCAGCTCTGCGAACAGCGGGAAATAGCGGGCCAGGGAAGTGAGTGTCATCTGGTATGGAGGAAGAAGTGGTCTTTGTCTTCTTGAGAAGCGGTCTTTCTGATGCCTTCCTGGAGTCGACGTCGTCATTTCTTGTTGGTGGCAGTGACGGTGGTGGTTGTGGCGTTGGTGAGACGGAGTCTTTCTTTACGTCTGCCATTGATTTCTTGAAAGCTTTCCTCGAAGCTAAGAAGTGAGAAGGAGATCAGAGATCTAAGGAGTTAAAGGGAGTTCAGGTTTTTAGAGTTGAGAGTTACGAGGTTCAGAGCTAAGATATTCATTTTTCTTGTTCTTCTAGAAGTTTATTACATCTTGCCTATTGAGAAGCTTTTTCCTGTTCTTCTTCCTCTTCATTTTATAGAAGAGATAATTATCCATTATCTTTATAATTTTTTTGCTTATAAAATTTAAAAAACTTTTGCTATTTAATAAAAAAATTTATTAACTATAACTTCTTAAATTCTATTTGGTATTTACCATGTTTTTGAAAATTCGTAATTGTTTTTTAATTTTACATTAAATTTTTTATATTTTTAAATTCTTTTTACGTATTTGTATTAATAAAAATAAAGACTATTTTAATACATTAAAAAAACATTTTAAAAAGGTGGGCAAGTTGCTTTCAAATTAGTTTCAATGAACAAATTAAGAATTATTAAAAAGGGATATTTCATTGTTTATATTGGGGGGCATTGAAGTCATATTTATCTCAAATAAATTTAAAAAATTATCTATTTAATTTATATTCTTAGAACAATCTAAAACTTAATTCTTTTATTGATTTTATGTTCCTTCTGGATTTGTTTTTTATATATAAATAAAATAATAAAATAGAAGTAGAGAAGATGAGAAAAGAAAGAAGGCATGTAAATGATGATAAGAAACTAATTAATAAAAAAAATAGAGGGACTGAATTAAAATTAATTCACTTTTAAAGACACTCAAATTGACATGGGTCAATGTTTGGCCGTATGCTGATTGTCTGTGGGATCTAAAGTGGGCCCACTTGCCCTTTTGTTTCTTAATCCCGATTTAGATTGGCTCGTGAACACACAGGTGCACGTGCATTGATTCTCTTCCGTCAGGTTCCCACTTTCCATGTTTATTTTCATGCGCGAAAAATGCACTTGTTTCAAAGTACAAAAATATCTATTAAGTTTTTTTTTTAATATATATATATATATTATTTTTATTTTTTTATTTTTAATATCAATATATTAAAAAAATTAATTTAATATTTTTTATATAAAATACACCAAAAAAATTATCACGATTTCAAACATTTATAATTTTTTTTTATTATTATTCCATTCTAAACACTCGGCTAAAAAGTTTTGGAAGATATTGTTTAGTCAATATCTCGAAATAAATAAATAAAGGTTAATTTTTTTGTTTTGAAAATAAATAAATTCATTCTAAAATTATTTCATATATAAATTTATTTTTGTTTTTATCTCTTTTAATAAATGCCAAGAATTTATTAGTTAAAACTTAAATATACTGACAAAAAAACAATTTAAATTTTATAACCATAGCATCACTTTGAATTACATGAATTCTGAGAACTTTACATGAACCATTATTCATCAAGATCTCATGTCCACTCTCCATGAATTCAAGACCAGTGCTCTTCTGAAACATGAATTCAAGCCTGAAGTTCCGAGACAAGGGTTAGGGAGAGGAAGAGCCACATTGCATCCTATGGTCAACGACTAGGAGGTTTGACAGATAATTTCTCAAGAACACTGATGAAGACAGAAGAACAAGATTAAAATGTTCAGTGAATAATCATCGAGGGCTTCATTTACACTTCCATCAATCTTGGGACTGTACGCTGTCCTTTGAATCAGAGGGATTCGTGTATCTCCAGAAGAAGCCTATACTACTGCCCATGATGTTCATAATCACAGCAGACATAGCTGGGGGTAATGCAACCATAGGTGAAGTGAAATGTGATGCTGCTAATACCACACCTAAGGAAGAATTTTGCATTCCAACCTGTGATGTGTTGCCCCAGGAAAGAAAAAAAGAAGTGGAAATTGATTTAAGATAAAGTATACTCAACGATGAATGGATGGATTGACTGCTAAAATTAGAACGACAACTGAAAATTCACGAAAAGAAAAAATTTACAACTTTTCTGATACTTTCAAGATGATAGCAAGGGATTGATATGATCATACCTCAATCGATATTGCCCGCACTAAAAAATAATAGTTATTATGATTTCAAACATTCATAATTTTTTTTTTTTTATTATGATTATGATTCCATTCTAAACACCAGGCTAAAAAGTTTTGGAAGATATTGTTTAGTTATTGTCTCGAAATAAAAAAAAAATTTGGTTGAATTTTTTGTTTTAAAAATAAATAAATTCATTCTAAAATTATTTCATATATAAATTTATTTTTGTTTTTATCTCTTTTAATAAATGCCAAGAATTTATTAGTTAAAACTTAAATATACTGACAAAAACAATTTAAATTTTATAACCATAGCATCACTTTGAATTACATGAATTCTGAGAACTTTACATGAACCATTATTCATCAAGATCTCATGTCCACTCTCCATGAATTCAAGACCAGTGCTCTTCTGAAACATGAATTCAAGCCTGAAGTTCCGAGACAAGGGTTAGGGAGAGGAAGAGCCACATTGCATCCTATGGTCAACGACTAGGAGGTTTGACAGATAATTTCTCAAGAACACTGATGAAGACAGAAGAACAAGATTAAAATGTTCAGTGAATAATCATCGAGGGCTTCATTTACACTTCCATCAATCTTGGGACTGTACGCTTTCCTTTGAATCAGAGGGATTCGTGTATCTCCAGAAGAAGCCTATACTACTGCCCATGATGTTCATAATCACAGCAGACATAGCTGGGGGTAATGCAACCATAGGTGAAGTGAAATGCGATGCTGCTAATACCACACCTAAGGAAGAATTTTGCATTCCAACCTGTGATGTGTTGCCCCAGGAAAGGAAAAAAAAAAGAAGTGGAAATTAATTTAAGATAAAGTATACTCAACGAGGGATGGATCGACCGCTAAAATTAGAACGACGACTGAAATTCACGAAAAGAAAACATTTACAACTTTTCTGATGCTTTCAAGATGATAGCAAGGGATTGACATGATCATACCTCAATCGATATTGCCCGCCGTTGCGGCTCTTTAAACCCAATAATTGCTGCTGATATATACCTGTAGATACCAAAAGTTTTGATGAATCAAATTCACAGGACAGAAAATGCCAGAAAGTTGTCTGCTCTGTAAATCTCAACGTAAAATGGGCAAAATTTGTTATTATCTGACTGCATATAATTTTTTTAGCATTGCTCCCAGGCACGCACCAAAAACAGTATCTGCAGACACATTTGAATGTCCTACAGAATCATCATGGAGGCAGTTCAAATACATGAATCTTCACAGTACTTTAGTCAACAGAATCATCATACTGTTTTTACTGTTTTTCTTTTTCAACTGTCTCAAAATAGAAGAGGTTGATTAAGCAAGCAAATACAGGTTACAATGATTGGAGTGGTGAGAATATTATCGATTTGGCGTAGATTGAGATTTAAATGCTCTGATGCCAGAGAGTTTCTGTTCAGATAAACTTACAAGAAAAAATATTTCTCATTTCCATAAACCACCCAGACACCAATCAAGATTGGACAAAGGCTATGTGCATGTGTGTTTATCTAGCTTACATAATTAGCCGAGATGGTACAAAAATTAGCGAAAGATAAGATGCATATTGATAGTCAAAGCTGAATGCAAGCACTGAAGAATTGTCATCGTCAAGGATAGAAATGAAGAGCAATTCATAAACATACCCAACAAAGAAGCCAGCAAAATGTAACAGCAGAACAGCAAGCATTATAGTTCCCATTTCACCAGAGAAGATTGACTGAATGCGAAGAATTAGAGAGGCATCAGATGGCAATGACGCAGCAACCATTGAGGATTTAAGACGCACAACATTTTCTGAGAACACACTGGAGTAAAAACCAGAGAACAAAAATCAGAGAAAATTGAATGCAGAAGCGCCAATTTCACATAATAAACCAAACAGCACCAAATGAACCTGCAAGCAAGCAGTGATGAAGCTAAAACAGCAAACAGTGGTGCGTAAGGCGTGATAGTTTTCACAGCTGCAGGAAATTTGCTCTGCATATATGAACCTAGCAGAATAGGAGCAACAACCACCTGGATAAGAATTGACAATGACCACAGTATAAGTAAACGAATATTTTGAAATGTGATGCTATCTAACTTGTCATTAAGCACAACTTTGAATTTACCTGTAGAGTGCTGATGGAAAGACCAATTGCGTCCACAGGAACATAAGTTCCTGCCAGAATTTTTGTCAGAAATGGAGTGAGAAGTACTGCACCAAGAGTAGTGCACCCTGTCATTACAATAGAAAGTGGAACATCCCCTTGAGCAATTAAGGTCACCTGTAACACTACTTCAGCAAAAATAAATAGATATCTCACAAATTTTGAGGCACAGCATTTGTATACACCTCAATATACCTATCATTTCAATTGTCTATAGAAAAAAGGAAACAGAATTCTCAATTATCTCAAGGCCAAAACACCAGTTTTGATCGATAATCCATAAACAGTTTCGGACTTATAACACATAAGAACAACATAACCTAGTTCACAAAAACAATGAGTTTTGTCAGGACTGACATTTTCTCTCCTCTTTTCTGTGGGATGGGAGAACGTGGGGAATCGTAATTAGTAATGAACACAACACTGTCAATCTTGACAAGATACAGGGTCCAAAACATGATAATTTTGAAAGATTAGTCAAACACAGATGGTTAAAGATCCATAGTTAAACAGTCCTGGGATGGATAAGCTAGTAAAAAATGCATGTTCACTCATAACTTGCAAATAACTCTTGGATACAGAAGGACATGAGCATTGTACATTCTACTGCCCAAAATATTTCATCTAGGAAGTACTCTATGAAAGACGAGGATATGAAAGATGAGGACAAGAACTTCGAAGAATACTAAGCATATTGTTCGTGACTAGATCACCAGATTAGAGTTCCCATTGAAAAGATACAATGTGAAGTGTAGACCTCTCTCTCCTTGTACAAATGCTACTCCATATCAGTAGGTCACACGTAAATTTTCCAACCAGAAAAAGAAAGAGGCAGAAATTTCTTAGTGAATGTTACATTCTAATATCAAAAATCATAAATTGCCTTTGAAATATGCTTCAATAGAGTTCATAATAAGTATGGTTCCAGAGAAAAAAGATAGACAGATAGCACTTACCACATTAGAGGCAGTACCTCCAGGGCAACAACCGAGCAATATCAATCCAACTGTAAAGGAAGGTGGAAGCCCCAACGCTTTACTAACAATCAGTCCAAAAGCTGGCATGATTGTATACTGAGCGACACATCCAAATAGTATCTGAACAAAGATGGCAAACGAGACCTCCTATCAATCCCTTTCCTTAACTAGAACTTAAATCATTCCATAAAACAATCCAATGAACTTAAAGTTGCGATTCCCTCACATGTTCCAATTCAAAACAGAAATTAGCACCCAAGAATCTGATCTTAAACAGCTATAGCGAATACGACACACGCACAGTGTCAGCCAGAGCCAATACATAATTGTGTAAAGAACCACTTCCTGCGACACCTTGTTTAAAATTAACAAACTATAAGCACCAAGATGCTCCTCTATTCAGCATGTTGCGTTAATTTTCTGAACCCACAATGCATTGCTCATGATTAGCTCAAAAAAATTCAATAAAGTCGGCATAGTCTCAAATGCCAAAAAAAAAAAAAATCATCCTGGGTTTTTCAGGTATTGTAGACCATATGAGCGTCCATCCATCCAACCAACCAACTAGCTGGATTCTATTACAAATCTTCCCAATAACCACCATGAATCCAAAATGTTATCAGCATTCATTTCTTGATGTCATTTCAAGAACCCAACAGACATGTTAACCTTAAAACATGAAAAAAAAGAACACATTCAGCGTGAAACAAAAAAGATGAAGATTAAGGAAAAGAACTGACAGAGAGAGGCCTCTGCATAAACAAGGCAATCAAGTCCTTGAGTTCCAAAGTGAGACCCATAGCCAACATGATGAGCCCAAGAGACAAACTATAAGAAGCTGGACCTCTCTTCACAAACCAAGAAAAAGCAGACGGCTTGAAGCAAGCAAGAATCCCACCAGCAGTCACATAGAGAGGATACAAGCTTGCTGCAGTGGATAACACGTTCTGTTGCCAATCCAGGGAGGTGGGTTTTGGTGGGGACACAGGTAGGTGACCAGATCCCTCATGGCCAGAGCCGGAGCCGGAGCTGGAGCTCAGTATCAACGTGGGCAGGTTTCTGAAACTTGGATGTGAAGAAAAGGTGGGTTTTTTGGGGTTAGTGTGAGTGATCTTGAAGTGGGTTCTATCAAGGAGTGGGGGCCGTGTTGATGTGAGAAGGGGAGAGAGGGACATTGTGATGAGTTTAGATTCCGGGACTGAGTCACTCACACTGCCATTTTAGGTGGCCTTGTATGGTTATTATTGTTATTATTACTCAATTTCATATCTTCATTTTAGGTGGCGCTAGACCACACGTGCCCTATTTCTCATGCCTCTTAGATTCGGCTCAGAATCAGATCTGATAAAGATCTCGTACGGTTCGACTAATTTAATTCGAGTTAATTCTTGAATTTTTATGTTAATAACTGTTTTTATAATTTTTTATTTAAAAAAATTAATGAAAAATCCAATTTAATTCGAGTTAATTCTTGAATTTCTATGTTAATAACTATGTTTTTATAATTTTTTTATTTAAAAAAATTAATGAAAAATATCAGAAAAAATAATACAACAAAAAAAAACATATATATGATTTATTGGATTGGTGAAAATCTATAAGTGGATATTATTTTGAAATCATGATTCTCGAGTTATTTATTTTTACTATTAAAATCGTATTTTATGATTTTTTAAGATTATTTTTGTTTGAAATTATTTTTTTGATATATTTAGATCGTTTTGATATGTTAATATTAAAATTAAAAATCTATAAGTAGATATTATTTTGAAATCATGATTCTCGTGTTATTTATTTTTACTATTAAAATCGTGTTTTATAATTTTTTAAGATTATTTTTATTTGAAATTATTTTTTTGATATATTCAGATCGTTTTGATATGTTAATATTAAAATAATTTTTAAAAAATAAAAAAATATTTTATATATTTCTGAAAAAAACCACTTTAAAAAGCATACTAACATATGTATATTTTTTGTTTTTTTAATATTTCACTTTGTTTTTTTAATTTTAAAATCAATGATTAACTTTTAAAAAAATTTATTTTTCACATCATAATAAACCTTTAAAATCATTTTTAAAAATATTCATTTTTCAAGGATGTCTGGGATAATAGTTGTGGTAGTAATTATTTTTTAAAGTGTTTTTTTGCTTGAAAATACATTAAGATAATATTTTTTTATTTTTTAAAAAATTATTTTTAATATTAACATATTAAAACAATAAAAAAATACAAAAAAATAAATTAAAGAATAAAATACAAAGTTTTTGAATACCTTAGTTGAAACGTTGTCACTTCAATTGCTATATAAATAAGCTTGCCCAGGAATATATCTTTCTTGTGCAATAAAAGAAGAAGAAGAAGAAGCAAATATAATGAGATTATCAGAAGCTGTTGATGGATAATATATACATGAAATGAGAGACAGATCTTGTTAAGCTGATTTGGGCCTCACCCGATCAAACAGTGTATTGAGTCTAAATTTCTGGGTAAGCTAGGTTTAATTTGTGTTTGCTGTAGTGGTAATTTTTTATATTATAGTTTTTTTAATGAAATATCAAAATAAAATATGTTAATGAATAAATACTTCTAAGTATGTGATTAAAGCAAAACGCAGACCTTACCACGAAAATAAACAATTACTTATAAATGGGATAATTTAATGAAGCAAATTTATGAGAAAAAATCATTAAAATTTTAAAGCCTTTGCCATCTACCATCCAAACCGCAAATTAATAAAAGGTCCAGTCATTATAATTCAATTATTATTATTATTATTATTTTCTTTGGATAACCATGTATCCTCTAATTAAGTTTTTTGCATTGAAAGTCCTCGCACCCACGGGTTCCCAGGTCATCAAAAACTAGTCTTTGTATTACTTGTAAATTTTTAATTTAATGCTTGAACTTTTGTTTTGGCACAATTGAGCTAAAATTAAAGCCTAATTATTTTATTTTATTTTTACTGAGAATTGAATTAAAAGTCAGAGGACTGAAGTGTAAAACAAGGGTAACATGGATGGCATGTTTAGATTTATTTGAATAGTATGTTTTTGTCCCCCATATTTGTTTGCTGTATGGTGACCGGTCCTTTAAATTTTTAACAATTTTATTTTGATACGAAACTTTATTTTTATTATTTTTCAGTTTTTAGTATATGAAATGAAAGAAATAGGATAACTGAAATCCAGCCTAGAGAGAGAAAAATATCATTTCTTCAATTTTGGTCACTAAAATGTTAGATTTATTTTTCTCCAAATGGTTCCATATGATGAGGAAAGTTTGACTTAGATGCTTTTTTACCTTACAAGTGTTTAAAAAACCAAATTTGAGATCGGGAAGACATTGGTTTCCGGGTTGGTTTTGGATTTTTGACCAGTTTTTTATGCTTTTGGAGGTTAAAAATTTGTTTAAAAATGTTATTTGGGTGATTTCTAGGTATTTTGGGTTGAAAATAGATTAAAAATGAGTTTTTTTAAAAAAAAAAACAGTTGCCTTTATTTTTCGGTCATTGTGGTAGATGGAATCTAGGTTTAGTGAGCATCTGACAACCATGCCAGACCCAAGTCTCTTCGGCTTAACATAGTTGTCACCCCCAAGTCGTTTTGGCTTGGCATGATTGCCAGACCCAAACGCTAGACCCAAGCATTCCGGGTCTGGCAAGCATGCCAAATCCAAGCAACTTGAATCTGATATAGTTGTCAAATCCAAACGACTTGGGTTTGAAACAATAAAAGATAAAAGACATGTGTGACTGAACTTAACATTATATGTCTGTGCTAATAATAAAATTGGGTTGAGCTAGTTAAAAACCATCAATTCACCCCAGGTAATGCCCATACTATATATACATTATCATTTGTCTTCACCATTGATCCTTTTGCGCACGAGCTTGTCATCTTTTCTTTATTAGTTATCAATCCTTATTAAAGTTTCACTATATAAATATTAGAAGAAGCTTTTCATTTCTCAACATGAGATTGGAAGCCCGTTAGTATATACTCTATATTTACAAGAAAAAAGTTGTGTTTTTTTAATATGAGATAAAAAAAACTTTTATTTTAAATACTTCAACTTAAAAGAAGAGATAATATATTTTAAATGTAGGATAAAAAAATCTTTTAAAGTAATCTTTTAAAATTTATTATTTACAATATGTATAACCTATATCTACATGCAATATTTCTTAAATTTTTAATGTGAAAAATTAAAACCTTATTTTTTAAAAATTTTCTCAAGTTCATTAAATTAACAGGTCAGATCTGATAACTATGGTGTTAGGTTGATATTTTATTTGTTACTTATTTTTAATAGTTTTTTTTATCAATTTTATTCTTTAATATTGGATTGGTTGGAGAATAAATTGAATGATTTATCTATTTGCTTTTTTATAGAGTTATCACTGTCTCAAATAAGTTTTTATTTTTTAGGTTGGTACTCAATTTTGTTACCACATATTTTTATTATATAATTAAAAAATTATAATTTTTTTTAATAAACTCAATAAAATCCATGAAACAGTTTGCTGAAAGACTAAGATCAATCCAGTATGTCATTATCTTAATAGTTTCTATTGAAAAAGTTATCTTGAAATTTTCTTAAAAATTAAGCCATGTTTTTAGTATTAATTATTAAGATTGTATTTGGATTTATGAAATAATCAATTTAATTTGAGTTAACTCCTGTAATATTTAGTTTGAAACTCGAGTTAGAAAAATAGTTAGGTTGTGAGATTTTAAAATTGACTCATTAAATTTAGATTGAATAACACAATTAAAGAACTTCTCACTCTTTTAATATATTTTTATATTTTAAAAATTTTATAATGAACCAAGTATATATAGATGATTTTTCTTAGAATTCCTCCCTTCTCTAATCAAGTAAAGACATGGTACATCAAGGGAAAATGAATGTTCAGCACCCTGTTTTTTAATTCATAGAGAAAGAAAATAATACTAGACATGGTACATCAAGGGAAAATGAATGTTCAGCACCCTGTTTTTTAATTCATAGAGAAAGAAAATAATACTGATAATTAAAAAAAAAACAAAAAAGAAACCTTACAAGTCAAAGAGATCACATGACACAAGGTATTGCAATTATTTGCCTGGTGTAACGGGGTAGCCGATCCCATGCCTTCTGGTAGGAAAAGCCAGAAACAACAAGCTGCAGATGAGACCAATCCCAACAGGGATGACATCCAAAACCTCCTGAGTCTCATGTTTAGGCATAGGATAAAAGCAACTCAAAACATTCTTATCCCTCAAAGCCACAGCAACAAACACGAGCACTGATAAAACTGCATGAACCACATCAATGAACCTTAGCTTGAGCTTGCTCAGATCAGACAAGCCTGAACCAACAGGATCCGGGCAGTCAAATAGAAACATCCCTTTAATGGTTGCGAAACCATAGTAGACTTGTCCATCTGTTGGTGACTTGACACTGTCCGTGAAGGAGCCAAGAAAACAAGAAACAGCGAGGAGAGCAAGGAGGACAGAAGTCATGGGGGCTGTGGCAGAATCACAGGCACCATTGTTGGTAAATATAGGGGTGAGGATCTGGAATGCTAGGAGGGTGCCTGTGGGAAGGAGGTTGGCTAGGTTTGCTGTACTTGTTAGGGTTTGCGAGATTGCCCTTTGAGAGAAAGTGGGTGGTCTTGATGGGGATTTTGGAGTCTCAGGCTCATTCTTATTGATGTTATCGTTGCTAGGAGTCGAGCTTGAACTTCCTGTGGATATTTCAGCAGGTATGGATGATTTCTTGGAGGAAGGTGTTGTTCTTAGTCTGAGAGACATACTGTTGGGTTTTTGGGTGTGGGAAAATTTAGGGTTCTCAAGCTTTATGATCAAGAAGCTGATTTGAAGGAGGTTGAAGTCAATTATGCGTGTATTAAAATGTGGATTAGGTATTTTTAATAAATCAATTACTTGTCGTCAAAGGTTTTAAGCTTTCATCATGGAGTTTCTAGACGACTGCATCCTAACTTGAACAGGCATCTTTTAGTCTCAAATTGTATGCGTGAAGCTAGCTAGCTATGGAGTCAATGCCCAGCCAGCCCATCTGACATCATTGCTTTTAGGCAGCTGTTGAATTATTATTATACCGGAACAATAATTCCACTATTTATCACTCACCATTGTTCAACATCTTTCTGCACGATCGTCCCTTCGTCCAAATTTTAATTATTGTGGAGTGATTTCAAATCTTTCTTTATTTATGCCCTTAGCTATTCTTATGCCTT